GCAGGCTATTGTTTAAGGTTTGTCGCAGTCTGGCCATTGACTGCAACGCGTCTCGATGCACGGTTGTCCCTGGAGGAGGTCAATACACTCGAGTTGCATCGCGACGCGAACTTTACAGAGAGCCTCGCTCTCTCGACGTCGAGGAAGTTGCAACGGTCACGGAGACGAGAATTCACTTGGCGCGACCCTCGTATTCCGTTCCGACCGGGCCACGTGTCTGCGAACGATAGGAGGATTACGTCGTTGGTCGGTGATAAGAGACGCTCTTAATTAAAATTTCATTGCTCGAGTAGAGCGTGGCGAAGTTGTTACACTTTTTCGCGAAATTAGCTGCTGGTAATACGGTCGACGATAGTAGGGTTGTGAACGTTTAGTAGAATTTAACAAGGTTTTTCGAACATTTCCATGCAAATTTTTTATGGAGAAATGTGTAATTGTGGGAAATTAATAACTGTGAAGAGTTGGAATGGTAAATGATGTGTGTTACAATTGGAGATTTTCGGTTTGCTAATTTTGGTACTTTCGTCGTTTATCGTGGGAAATTAATAATTGGAATGGTAAATAATGTGAGTACTAAAAATAAAGATTTTCAGTAGGTATAAAGAAAGAACATGTGTTCGTTAATTTTGGTACTTAAATCGTTTACCACTTGAACACTATAGATTTGCAGTGTTTACTAGCTTTGTAAATTCAGAGGAAATGTAAATAATAAACCATACAAATATCAAAATTGAAGATTATTCAGTATAAACAAAAACCATGTGTCCCTCAATTTCGGTACCAAAATTCCATCATTTTACAACAGCAACCACAGAAAATTTCCTCGTACTTGTATTCTTCAGTTTACTATCGAAGTTGAATCGAACGATAAAGGACTGGAAGCAACTAAATTTATCGCAATAGCAATCGAATGAAACCTTCCGGAAATAAGCACCGTCGTTACTGGCTCTCATTCATGATTTGAAAAGAAGAAGAAGAAGAAGAAGAAAAGAAGAGTACAGATTAGCACTATCGGACGTTCTCAGTGATAATTCTCGAATCAACAACGAATAAACGATGTACCACTTGTTTTATTTGTAATGATTAAATAATTATCGTACAATGCGAACAACTACAATTTACACAATCGTGAGAAATTCAGTGGTAAAATGTGAAACACTTGACGAATTTGACCATGTTTAGCAATAACGTGTGTGTAGGACATCTGCATACAACGAGAACAATTTACCTACTTATTTTTCCCAACGAAATTCTTCTCTCCTTCGATCACTTGAAAATTCTACATGTGTTACACGTGTAATGGTAACCAGCGATATTGTTACATTTGTTGTAACACGAAGAAGGGGCAAGGTTCAACGTATTACGCTGTTATGAGTCTTAATCTTGGCAAGTACCGATATTTAGCAACTCTTGTAGCGAGAATTATGCAAATAAAACGATATTTACAAAGTTATATATAGCTTTGTATTTTCAACAATGTGTTGAAGAATTTCTATGCAATAATTATATAGGAGGTTTAAAACACGTTGCGCAATTCTTCGTTACTTCATAGTATCTTCGTGACACAATAGAGGTAGCAGAAGAGAAGAGATATGAAAATATTTGCATGATTGTAAGTAGACATGAACGAGTTTTGTAGTATTCCTCACTTCGTTAGATGCTGGTAAATGTCTAGTTTTCCCATACGACGAGCTACGAGTTGTACCTGGTTAGCCTTGGACTGTACTTTATCGATGAATGTTACTGCAGTCAACGCCTATGATTGATGAAAAAAATGTTCTTAAAGTGTACATTGTAATGCTGTTTGTACAAATATATTCCTTGTATTATGTTGCAATTCAGCTGTATTTTCCTCTTAGAAAACTTGCTAATCTTTTTTGTTACCGACATGAGTTACCTAAGCGTGTGTTAAAATAAACGTAGATATTGAAAAATTTGTCGGTAAGGAAATTTGAGAGATAGAAAATAGAATTACATACAGTGCAAAGAAAGAACAAAAATTCTTTTAAAAATTAATAATAGTTTATCACTTCGAAATGCTTATTTCAGAATGAAAATATTAAAAACTTTGTCGGTAAAGAAATTTAAGCGATAAACAGTAGAATTGTAATGCAAAAGAACAAAAATTCTTTTAAAAGTTAGTACAAGTTTATCACTTTGAAAGGACTATTTCAAAAATTTGTCAGTAAGGAAATTTAGGAGATAAAAACTAGAATTGCAGTGCAAAAGAAGAACAAAAATTAATACAAATTTATCACTTCGAAATGGCTATTTCAAAATGAAAAATTTGTCGGTAAAGAAATTTAAGCGATAAACAGTAGAATTGTAATGCAAAAGAACAAAAATTCTTTTAAAAATTAGTACAAGTTTATCACTTTGAAATGACTATTTCAAAAATTTGTCAGTAAGGAAATTTAGGAGATAAAAACTAGAATTGCAGTGCAAAAGAAGAACAAAAATTAATACAAATTTATCACTTCGAAATGGCTATTTCAAAATGAAAAATTTGTCGGTAAAGAAATTTAAGAGATAAAAAGAAGAATTGCAGTGCAAAAGAAGAACAAAAGTTCCATTGAAAGTTAATAATAGTTTATCACTTCGAAATTACTATATATGAATAAAAATATTAAAAAGTTTGTCAGTAAGGAAATTTAAGAGACAAAAATAGAATTGCAGTGCAAAAAAGTTACAGAAGTTCCTTTGAAAGTTAATAGCAGCTTATCACTTGGAAATGACTATGTAAAACGATGGTGTAAGGATAACATTTCCAAGCTATTTTTCCATAGATAGTATTCGAAAATACGGAAAAGATGTAATTAGTTCACGGTTCGTCGCCGATTCGAGCTATTTTTCAGCATCGAAAGGCGATCTAATAGTGTTTCCACATTCTACGCGTTCGTTTCGCCGTAATTATTTGTCTAGAGAAAAAAAAAAAGGGCGAACCACTACCTCTAATATATACACTCCAGTAATAAAACGTGGCTTTTACACTTCGCGCAGCAAAAAGATGCTTTATCAGTTCTTCTCGAAATTCACCGTTTTACGAAACGCTTTCTCAATGAAAAGAAAGTAACAGATAGCACAGAAAAAAGAAACAGACATAACATATAAACAGAAAAGAAAAGTTTTCAACTCCATTTTATCGAAGGTTACAAAAGAATGCAGATAATTCATTGTTGCAGCGCTTCCAGAGAGCGCCAATTGCGTAATACTTGTTGTGACATAGTAGACAATGATCTATGTTTATTTTGCAAGTTGACAATACGGGCAGAAGTAACAATAGGCGCGTCGATAGGCACTATTATACTTCTACGAGGAAATTCTGTTATATCGAATAAATGATTTCTCAAATTTTCACGTCATTAATCGAGGCTGATATTTTTCAGGACAACAGATCTATGGGCCTCTGATAAATTTTTTGGCAAATACTAAATATCAATTTTTTAATACGAACAAGCAACAAGATTTGTTGCTTCCCTGTAGCAAAAATATCTTCGAGTGCAAAGGGTTAATTCTTTAATTAATAAAATAATTAAGACTTGTGAAATTGTTGTGTTATTTTTTAAATTTAGTAAAACTTTGCACGCGTCGTTTCACGTGGAACGATACACGTTTCATTCTGTGAGCGGCGAACTTGGAAAATCGAGAACGAGCAAGAAAGCGAATACTTAATCAGCAGAGAGCAAAAAGAGCATCGACTGTGTAGAAGGAAAAACCTGGTTCAAAGGTGAAGTTTTAAATGCTACCGCAGAGAAACGAACCTTTGTGCAAGATCGATCAGTTACTGCTATTTTAACGGCGGCGATTCGTTCACGCAGAACGAGATCGATCGACAGCAATGACGCTTGTAATTATTCATACCTTAATTCTGTGCGCGTCGAATTCGTCTTTGAAGTTACTCAAAGGCGGCTATAATTGTGAAACTGACGTTTCTTTTCGCATCGACGCTAATGAAAACGAAAAGGAACACGTCGAATCGTACAATTTTCACTCATTTTCACACTTTACCATTTATTTTTTTATTTTCGAAAAGGAAAACATTAATTCTTACAATTTTCGCATACTTTCACAGTTTTCCTTCTTATTTCTTATTTAAAAAAAGAGAAACATTAAATCACACAATTGCTGCACATTCTCACAGATCTTATTTGTCTGGAGGAAATTCGATTTAAAAAAGAAAACAACCTGTTCCTTCGTTCTTCGCCTCGTGACATGAAACCATAAAAATGTCAATATTCGTGGTATTCCATCATCTCGAATTCCATTTACGCAAATCGCATTTTGCGGTTAATTCTGCCCGGACCCGAAGGACGTCGAAGCCATTAACACGAAACAACTCCGACGTATTCCCATTAACAAACCGACGTTTACTACTCGCTGCTGTTTTGTAGAGCGAAGATGATCGATCTTCGCGAATCTCGAGGAGATCTGTCTTCGCCGGTCCTATTCAAGGACGGTAAATACACCGAGGAGAACGACGTAAACCTTGCCTACGATCACGTGTACGAGCACACAATATCATCGTATTAAAATTGAAATACTTGAAACGCAATTCTGAAATATGAAAATTACTCATCCATAAATCGACTTGGGAATCTCTACTCGTAAATGTCTCTCATTGTTCGTGACAGGCGAGGGATACGCGTTTAAACATCTCGTTACACGTCTTCTTCTTCTTTTTTCCGCCTTTTATACTTTTATCCCTGCAACGAAATTGTAACATTCTTTTTTTCTTAAGGGAGAAAAGTAGAGATAAATAAATATTCGAACCTACGGTTGTTGGATGTTTGCTTTTTGTTTCTTGTTTTTTTTTTCTTTTTAGTTTGCAAATTGTGTTTGTTATTCTTGCTGATTTTAAACCACGTGAAAAAATAAATTACCACGCGATAACGAGCAGAGAGGGAGGAGTGTGTAAATTGTTAGTTGAAACAGTCCAGAACGAATCTTACTTAGGAAAATAAATTCTAATATTGGTTATTCCCCGGTTCTCTGTTTTACAGAAACCCAACATGGTGGAAGAGGAGATCGACGCTCGAACGCGGGCTAACTGTGATAGCAGTTTGCGGGGTGCTTTTATGTATCGCCTTGGCTGTTGCACTTGGCGTTGTTGCAGCAAACACAGCATCCTGCAACGTATCATCTAATAACGGTAAGAAAATTCTGGGAAGCTCGTATGAGAATTTAGTTCAACAGCGGACCAATAAATAGTGAGATAATTTCACTAGATTTTTCAAATATTTTCAAATTACTTTTTCTGTATTTCAATATTTTTCAGTTCTGGTCCTTTTTCTTTAGTTTTAAAAGTTGAATAAAATAGATAGTGATATTAATTCATGCTTCAAAGCCATTCGGTGTAATAGTTTCGCAAGCATTAACTCTGCACACGCTTCGTACCATCAAATGGCAACATCGTCGCGAAAAAAAAGGACTCAATATTCGTCACTTGAACTCGTGAAATTCAGTTTATAATAACCGTTACATACATTAATACTGAACGTAACATCGAATATTACAACTTCAAATTAATTACCGACAGGTACAATTAAGAGTTCAACGTTATCAATATGGAGTCCTGAGTATCCTGCAATTACCGACACAGTTCTGCGATTAAATGCATGTCGTTTAAACGTGCAATAAGCTTAAATAAACCACGATTAATACCTTGGATTCACCACGAAGTAGACGTCGTTATGTTTCTGCTAACGTCTCTTCACCGACACCCATTTAACAATCATCTCGTTAAAACCCCGACGATTTCAACGATATCCTCACCGTGGATATCAGTTTTCTCAAAAATTACGCAATTATGATCTCACTGTGACCACTACCCGCCAAGTAACTGTTGATCTCGAAAGAACAAACGAACGAACGTAAAAAACCGGTTTTCTGGCGATAATCTGCAAATTGTTTCCGCGAAGCGTCTTTTAAAAAAAGATTCTTTCTGTAAGACTTACGATCTGTCGTTTCGTTTTTTTCTTTTTTTTACCGTCACTCTTTCACATTTTCACGTTAATCCTCTTACGTTTCTCGTTTTTTTCCCTCCTTCTTCTTCTTCTTCATTTTGCCGGTAAAGGTTCGACCAGAAGCAGCGACAAGTTCGCGATCCTTTTGGCGAGGAAAAGACTCGATAACGGTTCCGTGGGTACGTCGAAAAAAAAAAGAGAACAGTAAAAAAGAATTTCAGCCATGTGAAAGCTGGTCAGACGGGCTTTACGATCGAGTCGTCGTAAATTTCATTGACAGCCAATGTCACGTGCGACCTAAATATGTCCTCACGCGGATTTGTCCCCGCGAATCAACGGATTTCTTTGCACCGCAACAAGTATCGATACGTTAACACGTAGTTTCGTTCGTTGCTGCTTATATTTTTGGTCACACTCTGATCTACATATAAGATTGTAGCAATACGTTGCATACTCGTAATTGACAATTTATGGCAGTAAGTATAACTGACGCGATATCGATGGGACAAGTTAGGGTGCAACAGGTGTTTCTGAAAAGTAAATTGGAAAATGGTAGTTTTTTTTAGAAAAATTAGTGAAAATTCTTGGTTGTTTGGTGTGAAACTTGGAAGATTTAATTTGAAATTAAAAATTTAATAATTTAAAAAATATTAGCACTTTTTCGTTATGAAACGTCATTTATTGTACTTTAGGATTACATATTCCTAGTTTCATGCATTTTCATATGTGACATTGTAATGCAAATTAATAGAAATTATGTCGAATTCATTTAGCAAAAACACAAGTATTCACTCAGCAAAACTGAATTATTTTTAATATTCGTAGCACAGCGTTCGTATTATTCGTACTTCGATGCGCCTCATGCAAGTACCGTTACAAAATTTCGATACTTTCCTCGAACTTAAATCATCATTTTTCTATCCAACTATATATAAAATTCCAAAAAAATTCGAACGACGTATAAAAGTCTGCCGAACCTGTTTCAAAATAATTTTCTCCAAGGAAGAGCCTGAAAATATTTCGTTGCAATAATTACACGGAACACTTTGCACGTCACACAATTACGTTACAAGCATTGCTTCGACTCGTGGCAGTTGTACAAATCGACGAAAATTCACGTAGTGTTACGGAATGTTTGAGTAATCAAGCGTGATACTACGTGATCCTGGAGTATGTCTCAAGGCGAGGACAATCCTGTTCTACCCTTATCTCACGTATCAGATTATAATCGCACGCGTAGCGCTTCCTCAAAGACATTTCTCAGTGTGCATTCGTAGGGTTGCCGTACATCTTGATTTTTGAAGTGACTTCATTTTTAAAGTGTACGAAATTCTCTGAACAAATTGAGAACGATGAAACATTTCTTGTGAAAAATATTGTACCCCGAGTAGTGTCAAAATTATTGAATTATTTTCTTTCACCTTTCATGTCGCGCTGTCCTTTATGTTCTACTGCAGAAATGTTAATCGCTGCATTGTAAATAAATGGGAAACTTATTTCTACACGCTTAGGAAATAATCGAAAGAATAAATTACATGGATCATTTTTGGCACATCGAGTTGAGAAAAATGTGAGCATTAAGGGGTTAATTATTATTTTACTTTTCATTTTATCTGACTTTTTAACCCCGCTGTCTGTCTGCTCTTAGCCATCAAAGCACTTATTTCACACGATAGAGAAATATAAAATATAATTTTCATATCAAACGAAACTATATATCATTAATAAAGAAAAATGGTAAATTTTGCATTTGTAATGCAAATTGGGTTATATCGTTCAATGAAAATTAATTCCTACCAGCTCAGCACCACGTCTCAGCTAAGTATAACCGCAAAGGGTTAATTACTACAATAAAAGTCCACTTTAAAAAAAAAAAAGAAAACGTTCCTTTCGTCCCTGTCCCGGTTTGGCGATGAGAAAGTACGGTAACCCTATATATTCGCGAACGTGGTACCTTTCTTTTTTGGATATACGATTTATTATTAAGAGCCAGTAATAACCCTCTGTCCAATCCGAATCGCGTAATTTGACGTCAAAATTCGTGACGTCAATAAGAGTACGCCGTGTTCTCTGACGCATCAGGGTAAATGATTGCTGTTTTGAAAGTTAGTCACCGGGCGAGGATATACTTTTCGACGAAAGAATCAGAGAGGGAAAGGTAGAGTTTGTATATTTTCGATCGAGTGTCGATCGACCCCCTTCGGAGGTTCATAAAAGTACCGACCACTGAATCATCCGAATATTTTTACGAATCATCGGTAAACAATCACATGCTGTAACCACTAATCGTCGAGAAGATGACGCCGCCGAGATGGGCGCGAAACTCGATCGGTGGGGAACTATCGTACAATAAATGGCCACGTAAGAGGCAGAGTTTCTCAATTATCGGGATTGGTTGAATTTTTAAACGTGCAAATATCGATCTATAGAAATTTTCTTTTACGACACTGTTATAAATTACAGTTTAGTGTTTTAAATGCGAGATTCGTTTCGCTGAAAGTAGTCGGATGGAGGTTGTATTAGAAGTAGAAAATGGATTCTACTTAAATTCGAGTGATTTTCTTTCGCGAATTTGAAAATATCGAGATTAGAACTATTTGCATTATCGGTTGTTGAAATTAGAAATATTTGTAATACCGAATATTAAAATTGGAAATATTTACATTATCAAACATTAAAATTGGAAATACTTATATTATGAAATATTAAAATTGGAAATATTTACATTATCAAACATTAAAATTGGAAATATTTACATTATGAAATATTAAAATTGGAAATATTTACATTATCAAATATTAAAATTAGAAATACTTATATTATCGAATATTAAAATTAGAAATGTTTGCATTGTCAAATATTAAAATTGGAAATATTTACATTATCAAACATTAAAATTGGAAATATTTACATTATGAAATATTAAAATTGGAAATATTTACATTATCAAATATTAAAATTAGAAATATTTACATTATGAAATATTAAAATTAGAAATATTTACATTATGAAATATTAAAATTAGAAATACTTATATTATCGAATATTAAAATTGGAAATATTTACATTATCAAATATTAAAATTAGAAATATTAATACAGCATTTGGGATCAGAACAGCTGGAGAACGGACAGCAAAACGTTGTTTCACGCATTTAGATAATTTTTCAATAAAAAAGGAAATATCCAAGAGTAAGGCAACAATTAAAAATGTGTTTGAAGACTTCGTTGAGAAAATTTAGTTAACTACGTCACTAAAGTTCGAAGTTTCATTTACAAATCCTCCATTTAATCTACAACGACTAATAGAAGGGCAAAACTCGACGATAAACCAGCACAAGAGAGAATGAACGTAACTGTCCAATTTTCAACGAGTTCGCATTGATGCCCTTTCTAAAAGAGAAGCTTATGCGCGTTTCAATAGATCAATCGCTCGCGGTTGATTACATTTTCAGCGGCACTGCATTCGAGAAGTTTGCACGGGAGGTTCATTCAAATTGTGAAGCGAATCGCGACGGGGGCAAACACGTATGACGCCACCGTTTAGATGGTTTAACGGTTAGATTACATTACATTTCCGTTTACCGTTCCTCGTGCTTTGTTCTTCTGGCACATTTAGAAATCTTCACCCGTTCTATCTTTTAATCGACTTACATTAGGGGATGATGCACCTTCAGTGAAATCATTTTTTTAAATAAACAGGAAAGAGTTGACCAATTAGACTATACCACGTTCTATTTCCTATTTGTCGCTAATTTTTGTACAAGTTGATAATGGATATTGTAACTTGATATTTAAGACACTTACCATTACATAGTTAACTTTCTTCAGAAACAGATTAATTTGTTGTAAGCCTTTGTTTGACGTCGTGTAAAAGGTACGATTTAACCCTTTCGCTACTACAGACATTTTAAAATAGCAGGTATTCCATGTAAATTTTGTAGACAAAATTGTTTGATTTATGCTTACATGTTAAATTCGATTATTCGATGTATAAATGGTACCACCTCTGAAAGTATTAAATTTGCGAATGGATGTAATTGTACAACTATGGATGAGTAAAGGAATCGTTTGTTAATAAACGACGAACACAAATTTTGTAATCCTTGACAATCTCTGTACAACGATAGAAAGACAAACTGAAATAAATAATCAAAATTCGGTTGATAAATACAAAATTTCGCGGTACATGATTTATTTTTAATAAAAGAAAATCCAGGAATACTACAAATTGTCAGTTTTGACAGTAGTGGATGTAATAGGAAAGACAAAATGAAACAAGAAATAATAAATATAAATAATCATTTTAAATTACATCTCATTTCGTACACGCCTTTTATCAATGAAAACCTTGCTGTTTAATATAGCTTGAACGATGTGGCCTTTACTAACAACCATTAACAGCATTGTCTTGCATTGTTTATTTGTTGCAACGGCATCCACTTCTACGCGAGAGTAGATCCTGTTAACTCAGAGGGATTACCATCCACAGCGGACGCCCTGAAAGGATATCAGAGTACAAAAGGTCCTCAGGTAGTGGAGAGACCAACCTGCGACGCAGACATATGCTTCACACCTGAATGCATCCACACAGGTCAGTAAAAATATTTACACACCTGAAAAACCTACTTCTTCGATGTAGCTGAAATTCTACCTGACCGTGTAGTACTTGGAAATTCGTCGTGTAATCTTACTAAATAACGTATCCTCAGCCGCCAGATTGTTGAAGAACATGGATCACGAGGTGGAGCCGTGCGACGATTTTTACGATTTCGCTTGCGGAGGTTTCCTCAAGTCCACCAGCATCCCGGACGACAAGACCAGCGTGAACACGTTCACCGATATCAGCGACGAGCTGCAGAACCAGCTTAGAACGAGTATCGAGGAGAAGAGCACGCCTGACGAGCCAAAACCGTTCAGGCTCGCGAAGAATTTGTTCAAGGCTTGCATGAATAAGAGTAAGCATTTGTGCCAAATTGAATAGGTTCGTTTGCGGGGTGAAAATGAAAGAAAATATTGCATAAAAAATGTGAAAGAATTTTCTGAGCGTATTTTAATCACGGGAAGATTAAGGGAAATTCGACGTTCACCAAAATGGCGGTACAACAAAATGGCGCTTGAATTTCGTTTATAAGTAAATAATATAAATACAATTATCGATGCTGAAAGTGAATTAGAACTCTATTAAAAAGTTTGCAAATGTTTTACATTTTTATCTTTTTTAATGACACAAAACTTATTTATCATTAGCGATCATCGAGCAGCAAGGTTTGGACCCACTGTTAAATATTCTGCAAAAGCTCGGCGGATGGCCGGTGCTTAAAGGTGACGATTGGAATGAAAATTCGTTCAACTGGAAGGAATCGGTGTACAAATTCCGCAGGATGGGCTACTCGGTCGATTACTTCATCGATTTCAGCGTCGGCGTCGATCTGAGGAACAGCACGAAACGTATAATCGACGTACGTATGAAAAGAACAGTGGACATTTAAATATCTCGAATCGGCGTGAAATCGTTGGCAAATAAAATTACACGAGTGGAATTGAACAAGAAGGTGGTAAAGTTAAACGCGCGAATTGCTAATGTAAACGCAGTTCCTCTTAAGCGCTGAAAGCTATTTAGCGAAATTGTGCAACAGTAATAATTCAGTAAACAGTGAAATCAAACAGTAAAAACGTCGATAAACAACGCGTGTTGTATGTACGAAAATGAGATTGTATTACGTTCATCGTTGTCAGATTCAATATTTACTTGAAATTTCAACACATTCCTTCGTTGCGAATTTATATCCCTAACGAACTGATGACATAAGATGCTATTACTATGATAACGACCGTAATAATCTTACCATAATGATATACTTATTTTTCTTTTTTACAGTTGGACCAGGCTTCCCTTGGACTGTCACGCGAATACCTGTCGAAGGGCTTCGACGACAAAATCGTTCAAGCTTATTACAGCTACATGGTTGACATCGCGGTAATCCTCGGAGCTAACAAAACCGATGCAAAATCAGAATTAAGGGAGTCCTTAGACTTCGAGATGAAACTTGCAAATGTAAGCCAAGGAGTGACATTTTAAACAGAATAAAAATCACTTTTCTCTAATAATAAAAATTCTACAATTAAAAGAAAAAAGCTTTTCACAGTTCAGAATTTCTTATTACAACGTTTATACAAACATATTTCAATACACATTTCATATTTATCTATTTAAAAATTAAAATGTAACGTGTAGTATAAATTCTGTTCAATTATTTCATTTACATATGATAACAAAATTAAAGATTTATTATAGAAAAACGTTAAGAATAGTTAAATATTTATATTTAATCTTCCAGATTTCTTTGCCGAACGAAAAACGCCGCAACGCCACGCTTCTCTACAACCCCATGACGGTACGAGAATTGTCCAAGACTTACCCAAGCGTTCCGTGGAAGGAATACTTCAACACCCTTCTAGAACCCAACGTTCAAGTTGACGAAGAGGAAGTGGTGATCGTGAGCGTTCCAAGTTACATCGCAAACTTAGAGAAGTTGTTGGCCACAATTCCGAAGAGGGTGCAGGCGAACTACGTGATGTGGAGAGCAGCTGCCTCCTCAGTCAGCTATCTTACGGACGAGATTCGAAAGAGACAGCTGCAGTATTCCACAGCGCTGAGCGGGAAAACTGAGAGAGAGCCTAGGTGGAAGGAGTGCGTTGACACAGTTTCCGGTAGCTTGGCAACAAGTGTCGGTGCGATGTACGTAAGGAAATACTTCAAAGAAGACGCGAAGAAGAACGCCGTGGAAATGGTGGCTGATATTAGGGAAGAATTCACAAAAATACTCCGAAAGGTTGACACCAATTACCTTCTATTTACTTATCGTTAATTTTTGGTGACACTAACATGGTATATACTGTGCCCCATGTGGTAAAAGTAATTTTTCTATCTTTTCTACCAACTTCGTTAACGTTGAAATTATAAAAATTATTTATTTCAAAACTTAGTGTAGTATTAAAAAACATTTTCATTCGGCACTGTATTCGCTATGTTAGTATTCTAGGGTTAACGAAACTATGTAGTTTCTTTCTAATTTGCAATTGAAATAAAAGTAGCAGTGTTTCTCTAATAAAAGTGTGATTTTTTATCGATATGATTTTAGATCGATTGGATGGACGAAGAGACGAGAAAGAGCGCCCTGAAGAAAGCAGCCAGCATGTCTAGCCATATTGCCTATCCGGACGAATTACTGGACGATAAAAAGCTCGAGGAATTCTACGACAAACTGGAACTAACCACTGATAATTATCTCGAAGATATTCTGAATCTGACTTTATTCGGGGTAGAGTATTCGTTCAGCAAACTAAGGAAACCTGTAAACAAGAGCGACTGGGTAACTCACGGAAGACCGGCCATTGTTAACGCCTTTTATTCGTCCATCGAAAACAGTATTCGTGAGTGTTGCGTCGTTAAAAGTCAATAGGTCGATAATTTCGTAATAAATCGTCGAAGGATACAAGGAGAGTACAACGCTTTTTTTTTGGCAGAATTCCCTGCTGGTATTTTACAAGGCGCTTTCTTCAGCAACGACCGACCGAGATACATGAATTACGGCGCCATTGGTTTCGTCATTGGCCACGAAATAACACACGGCTTTGACGATCAGGGCAGACAATTCGATAAAGATGGTAACCTTGTTGATTGGTGGGCGCGGCAAACAGAGGAGAAATATCTGGAGAGAGCTGAATGTATTATACATCAATACGGCAACTTTACCGTGGAGGATGTTGGTTTGAATGTAAGGATTGTCTTTTGTACTTCGTCTCTGTGTCCTCGTTGTTTCCTCTTTTTCATTTGTACGCGGCGTTTACGTCAATCGATACAAATATTTGCTTGATAGGGACTCTAAATTTAGTAGGTATCAACGAGTGTCGAAATCTCTATTGAATACAATCCTTTACGTAATCCTTATCGCGCTCCTGCAATATGAATAGTACTACGTATACGTCAACGATGTTGCCCGGTGATAAGAGGATATCGTGCAGAGGCGAAATACGAACTTTTTTCTCAAATGGCAGAACAAACGCAATAGTATCGGGAGTGGTAGGCTGATTATTTTTATGGAGAGCATAGAGTAATACCTCTTAATGCCAGACGTGGTTCTCAGAACGTTGTTTCCACATCGTCGATATTTTAGCCTGACGATGAAAAATAAACAAGCTTCACCGAAAGTCGACGTCTTTATCAAACATAATATTCACTTCGATGTAAATATTGATAATTGGTCTTCTGTTTTACCTCCGTTTTCAACGTAACATGTTCTTTGAGCGTTAACAGAGAAACTTATAAAATAAATGTCTACAGCTTTATTTAAAAATAACAAGATAACTATAACTAATAATGTAAGCAAAAATTTTAATCAGATGTTACTCTTTCTCTTTATAAGTAAGCAATATTACTAAATTACTAAAGTTTCATCTAAAATTACCTATAATTAGAAGAACTGTCCCACTTTTTGTTACAGTTAAACGGTATCAATACTCAAGGCGAGAACATCGCCGACAACGGTGGAATAAAAGAGGCCTATTTGGCGTACAAAGAATGGGTGAAGCGACATCACGAGGAACAAAAATTACCAGGATTGCCGTACTCCCCCGAACAATTGTTCTGGATTAGCGCCGCGAACACCTGGTGCAGTAAATATCGACCGGAAGCGATGAAGCTCCGTATCACAACTGGATTCCATAGCCCTGGTAAATTCCGCGTTTTGGGACCTCTTTCGAACATGGAAGAGTTCTCGAAGGATTTCAATTGTCCTCTTGGCTCAAATATGAATCCCCAGAAGAAATGCTCCGTTTGGTAAAAATCGAACGACGCGATGGAAGAACACAAAAAAATTGCGAAAGTTGTGTAGTTAATCTCGACGTAATGAAGCTTGCTCTTCGGTATCCCGAAGAAGAAGAACTGTTCATGGTTGAAACACTTTTTTCCCCGGAGGTTTCGTTGAAAACGACGATCCGGTTGGATTAAGAGAAATTGTTGTTACGAATGTAGTTTGCGTGTTGTAATTTCGAAGGATCGTCGTAAATGCTGATGGAATCCGTTGAAGGGAGAACAGTGAAAAGGTGCTTCGATAGTAATGGAACTGATCGAATTCAATTTGAAGGCACGACCGTGCTCGAGAAGTTGATCTCGTAAATAATGCCCAAAAAAGATCCTCGTTCGTGAATTGACTTGAATTACACGGTTACACGGTGCATATTACATTAACATTGTTCGTTAATACATAAATCCTTTTTTATAACACAAAATGTTCAAATTTCGCCGAGTATTGTAAATAAAGAAAAACAGCGAGATATAAGACGGTGCGGCGCGTTATGACCATTTGAAATTTTCTATAATTCCGTTCTTTGGAAATCGAACAAACACAACCGTGCATAGATTGAATCGTTGAGAAAAAGGGAATGAAAATGGACACATTAAACTGTGATGATTTTATAGGAATCGACAATAAAAATATTGTAAACGGTCTTTCTGTTAAAGCTGTACAGTGACGCGCAAACAAAAATATATAGAATTATATTGTTAATTATATTTTCAAAATAACGTTGTTTTATCGATATATATTAAATGAAGAAGTTAATACGTGTTTTTTTGCTATCTGTATGATATTCGTTAAGCTCCGTTGAGCAACATAAGGTTGTTGATTAGAGTTACCATTTCGAAGTACTTAGGCAATGTAGTATTAATCGTAGTTTTTAATGTGCAGGTGAACGAAGAACGCCTGTGTGATTACTTTTGTACTGTTTTACTTTCTTTTTTTTTTTTTTTGCATCTATGTATCAGATAAGCGTTAATTTGTATCGTAATTTCCTTATTTTTCGATTGCAATGACAATTGTACCGTTTAGGAATCTAACACTTAGAACCGCGATACTCATATTTATTGCAATACTTTATTATTTTAAGTTAAAACAGATAAATGTATTCAGTGTATTTGTTGAGTATAAAATTTTAATATAAAAGTATTGAAAAAAAAGTGTCATCCTAAATTTGACAACCAAATTGAATACAAATGTTATACATTGTACAAAATGTATAATTTTTTTTTCTATTATATTATGCAATTTTTTGCACAAAAAACATATCTTAAAATATCTAAAGTAGGAATTACTGGTATTTGGTTAATAAATCAAAAATTTCCTGGTATACAAATTACAAAAGGAATACAAAATTATATTTTAATAGATACATTATCATTTTTGACAGTAGTGGATGTAATAGGTAATAAATTGTGACACCAAGAATGAAAGAGATTTTGTAGCTGCTCCAATATAAATAAAAAAAATGCATTAATACTAGTTTCTTACAAATATACACACTTCTCTAATTTTTACTGTGCAAGACATTAAAAGCTGAAACAAAAATATACTACTTTTCTATTCCTGGTGCCATAATTAAATAATTGTATATCTCCTATATTTTTACATATTGCAATCCAGGTAACCAAAATTGAATTTTTTAACAAATTAGTTACTTTATTGCTGTGGTTTTGTCCAATCTGCATTCAAGATATGATATTCATAATTATGACCGTTCAATGTAGCAATAGCTGCTGCAACTTCCACTCTGTATTGAAAATGTACATATGCAAATCTTTTACAAAGTTTGGTTTTTTTATCCTTAGCAAGATAAAATTTACGAGGAATTCCAAACGGCTTAACAAGGTCAACCAAATCAGCATCTGTAGTACTCTCTGATAAATTAGAAATACGAATAGCAGTTGTATCATCGCGTCTTTGCATTTGCATAGAATCTTCGCGTTTGCTGCCTCCATCACGCATATCAGGTGGTACATATTTACTACCTTGAGGTTTCAGTTCTGTCATTGCAGTAGTGAAAAGGGATTTCTGATCATCTGTCATTTTACCTGAAATCGAAACCATAGACTCCACATAGGATCAAACAATACTCTTCAAAACATATTGTTTAACTTGCCAAGACTATATATGTACCGTTAACCTTATTCTCTTCTTTACTAGAAAGGAATTGCATGAAAATATCTTCACCACTGTATGTAGCTCATGTGGCGCCCCGTAGTGTGAATGCTGAATACAAATTGTGCAGCGGTGTAGCCGAGGCAATGAACAAGAGAACTCGATAACATATAAATATATATGTATATTGTAAAATGAGAATGACTACTATTTGCAATTACTCCTTTAAATAAATGTTTATCGTTGTTGCTACGCACAGAAACATTACTGCGATGTAAAGCATTCGCTTTAAAGGAAATATGTATTAATAAACAAATGCGGGGTACCAATCAAATTTATTCTTATATAATTTTATATAGAATCTTTAATCTAATTGGAGATTATTATTTAACAAAAATATATTAACATTGAATAATGAACATCAACGACGCTTGAACATCCATTTGTTTTTCCTTGCTCAAAGAGTCTAGACGTATTATTTTGTAATAAAAGAAAATAATTAAAACATTTCGTTCATTGTTCTTCTTATCAAGTTATTTATGGTTCTGTAAAAGATTCAGCGTTAAATTTTCTCATTCGTTAAATTTAGTAAACGACTACGGGCAACAATTCCCTCAAATTCCCTAAGAATCTACGCAATACCACCAACTGTGGTAGCATGGTTTATCGTTGCTCGTGCTTTTCCTGCTCGAAAATATTGATTTTATCGTACGTTGTTCTTCTGCGATACCTAGCAGATGAATGTGACACATTAAGAAACCTTTACTCATTGTACCTTTTATTCGACTTACATAGAGGATGATGCACTTTGAGTTAAATCATTTTTTAAATAAATAGGAAAGAGTTGACCACTTAGAATATCTCACGTTCTATTTCCTATTTGACGCTAATTTTTGTACAAGTTGATAATGGATATTGTAACTTGCTTTTTAAGACACTTACCATTACATAGTTAACTTTCTTCAAAAACAGATTAATTTGTTATAAGCCTTTGTTTGACGTCGTGTAAAAGGTACGATTTAACCCTTTCGCTACTATAGACAACTATAGTCGCTCGACATCTTAAAATAGCAGGTATTCCATATAAATTTTACGAACTATTTTAATTAAGTAGAAAGTGATAAATTTTGTAAACAAAATTATTTGATTTATGCTTATATGTTAAATTCGATTATGCGATGTATAAATGAAAGGGTTAAGCGATCAGTCTTCTAAATCGTACCACCTCCGAAAGTATTAAATTTGTGAATGGATATAATTGTATAACTATGAATGAATAAAGAAATCGTTTATTAATAAATGACGAATACAAATTTTGTAATTCTTGCAGACCAAATTCCTCGACGGTTCTCCTGCCAATAAAAATCGAAAATCTCTACATAACGATAGAAAGACAAAATGAAAGAAATAATCAAAATTCGGTTAATAAATACAAAATTTCGTGGTACATGATATATTTTTAATCAAAAAAAAATCCAAGAATACAAATTATATTTTAACAGATACATTGTTATTTTTGACAGTAGTGGATGTAATAAGTAATAAATTGTGACACCAAGAATGAAAAAGATTTTGTAGTTGCTCCAATATAATTAAAAAAAATGCATTAATACTAGTTTCTTACAAATGTACATACTTCTCTAATTTTTACTGTGCAAGACATTAAAAACTGAAACAAAAATATACTATTTTTCTATTCCTGGTGTCACAATTAAATAGTTGCATATCTCCTATATTTTTACATGTTGCAATCCAGGTAAACAAAATTGAATTGTTTAACAAATTAGTTACTTTGTTGCTGTGGTTTTGACCAATCTACATTCAAGATAAGATGATCATAACCATAACCATTGAGTGTAGCAATAGCTTTTGCAGCTTCCACTCTGTATTTGAAATGTACATATGCAAATCCTTTACAAAGATTGGTCTGTTTATCTTTGGCAAGATAAAATTTAAGAACAGATCCAAATGGCTTAACAAGCTCATCCAAATCTCCATCTGTAGTACTCTCTGATAAATTGGAAATACGAATAGCAGTTGTATCATCGCGTCTTTGCATTTGCATAGGATCTCCGCGTTTGCTGCCTCCATCACGCATACCAGGTGGTACGTATTTACTACCTTGAGGTTTCAGTTCTGTCATTGCACCAGGGGCACTAGTAGTAATAAGGGGTTTCTTATCATCTGGCACTTTACCTGTAAATAAAACCATAGACTCAATATAGGATCAAACAATGTTAAATATTTCTTCCAAAAACAAATTTACAATGTTGAAACATACCTCCAGCAAGGACTGTGTCTTTATAAGGACACTTTGTTGTCCAATGGTCTCCATTACAATTACGGCATTTAACTACACCTTTGTCTCCCATACTCTTCAACTTGTCAAGACTATCCTCTTCAACCTTATTCTCTTCTTCCTTACTAGAAATGAATTGCATGAAAACATCTTCACCACCAACTGTGGTGGCAGGGTTTGGTCCAGGTCTGTCATCTGCAGAGTCTCCAAATTTGGCCCAATTTTTACGAACAGCAATTGTCTTTGAGACTACACGTCTTTCAATCTTATATGTACGAACAACCTTGACCTTTTTGTTATCTTGATTATATTTGTATTCAGTGAGAACTTTAAAACCATTTTCATAGGTCTCTGAAGGTGAGGGCAATGCTCTTCCCTCCTCTTCTACTTCATCAGCCCAACTGGACTTTACCTCTGCTACAGGCATGTCTAAACTTCAGATAGCTAATACAAATAAAAATAACTATTAATATTTTTAGATATTAACAAATAATAAGGTAATGTATGTGACATTACTTTATAGGTTATGTCGTAGAATCAATCACTAAATGCGTTTGAATTAATGATATAATAATATTAAACATATTTATCTATAATAAGCCACAAACACTTTATGTTTAATCGAAGTAAACTTCAGAACTTAACAAAAGAAATATAAAATATTGTTTTTCGTATACAGCGAACACATTACACAAAACACGTTTATCTTTCGAAAACATAAAAGCAGTGCGCAAATGAAAATTCGATGGCCTATTAAAAATACACTATTATAAATACTTACTGTTTAAACTTGTTACAAGAACAATCGATACAAACACGAACACTACAGAAAATTGACAGGAAAGTAAGTTCTTTGAAACACGAATGAAAATAAGCCGAAATGGACGAATTTCCGCATGTGATAAGTTGGCGTGTCAGCGGCTCTAGTGGTAGTTCTTTGAAACATGAAACTCCTGAATTAATGGCGACGTCTAGCGTTGTCGTGTTCAGTGTGAAAAAATAATGTTTTCCGGAGCCGTACTCCGATCGTGTACGGAAAAGTGTTAACGAAAGTAAAAACAAACGTGGTCGAATTCTGTGTGAAAGTAAAAGAGTAGTCGCGATAATGGACCAGGCACCTGCAGGTAAGAAAAGAATGTGATCTTGCGATTCGGTCAAGCGCGGTCTTGCACATTCCCACTCCGATCGAGCATATTAACGTTCCATCTTTTTTATTAACCGTAATGTCTGTGATCTATCGTTTTAGCATTTTAGTTAGTCAGAATTGAGGATTTGTGAGTTTCCACACAATGGAAATAATGAAATACATTTAAAAAAGACAAAATGTAGATTCTAAATAGTAGGTTATGTAAACCTGTGCAACGCATTAGGCTACCATTAAAAAGCTATTCACTCGACGAATTAAATTATCCTCAGGCAAATCTTCGTAGATATATTCACAAAATGATAAGTTTCAAAACAGATTCAATATTTCAGGTTACGATGGGCTGATTTAGGACTGCATACTTTAAAAAATAAGAGATCCTATTTCAGTACTGTATTTAAATTTTGCCATTTATACTGTAATAATTGTATAAGTAATTCATAATTGTTAGGTCATCATACTAATTCTGGTCATTTTGGTATAATACCCAGATACAGAGTTACGGAACATCATAGACAAACTAGCACAGTTTGTGGCTCGCAATGGACCAGAGTTCGAGCAGATGACGAAAAACAAGCAGAAGGACAACCCAAAGTTTGGTTTCCTGTTTGGTGGAGAGCACTTCAACTACTATCAATACAAAGTGACTACAGAGCAAGCCAGTAAGTGGGATACAGCCCCTTAACAGCTACAACAATTGAGAAGCATAATGGCCATGCTTTATTCAACGAACAAGGAATGACTTTGAAAAAGAGATACGGGTGAAAGGGTCTGAATTCGTCATAGTGAACATACAAAACTATTATTCATCGAATATGAGCACTTCATTTCAAGATTTTGGGATTGCTATTTATTAAGCAGAATGCTTTAGCTAAAGACATATTCTATTTCTTGGCAATGGTGATTTTAAGAAGATGTAGTTTTAAGATTCTTACTGAAGCTTATCTAATATGGACTACATTGTTGATATATTGCTTCAATCTATGTGGGAAATAAAACCCATTATAATACCCTGTAATGCCCTAGTACTGTAAAAAATAAAATAAAATAAAATAAAAAAAACATGTATATATATAAAACAGGGGAAGAGTATAGTGCTCCCAAAAGACTTACCGAATTTTCGATATAATTCTCTCATAAATGCCAAGAATTTTATTATGCACTGGTAGAAGATAAGACTCAACAGAAATTGGACTATTTGTATACTTTTTCAATATCCATTGAAGGAATCAAACATCTTACAATAATTCACCGTCATTCGTTTACAGTTTTAAAGCAAAAAGGAATAAATCCAATGCAAAATGCAGACCCACGTTTAAACGTTTCGCAGCAGCAGCAAACAGCCGCTACCGTCGCGCAGCCACTGAATAACGTCAATCTTGCACCTGGCCTAAGTACTCAAAACAATGGATTAAACCCAGTTGTGGGGATTGGACCAGTGGGAAATCAAGGTGGTCCCGTTATACCTGGAGTACCAGGACAAATTGGAGGGCCAGGAAATGCAGGACCACCGATTGGACCAGTCCCTGGTGCTATGGGAGGTGTGAATCCACCCATTGCTGGTGTTACTCAACCGGTTAACATTGGAGGACCCCCTGGATGGCTTCAAAATGAGTTAGCAAATCTTCAGTCACAGCAAACCACACTACAGGAACAAGTTAGACAATCAGAACAAAATCTGGCTGCGCAACATGCTGCATTGATGGCACAACAACAAGGAAGGGTTGAGGATGCTGTGAGACAAGCTCAAGAAACAGCTTTACAAAATAGTGCACAAAGCACAAACACAGATCTTGTTGCATTTGATGCAGTGTTACAGCCTATCATTGATAGCTGCACAAAAGATAGCATAAGTGCAGGGAAAGCCTGGATACTTCAAAATTCGGTTACACCGCAAAGCAATCAAGTGGTTGCGGATCATTTGCTGAAAAAGTATGTTAGTTCAAACTTCAATAGCGCACTGTTATAACTAAATCGATTAATTTTTAAATGTTTCTTTCAGAGTAATTCAGGCAACGAATTTTAGTCATAAACTCCATATTATCTATCTGGTCAACGATGTATTACATCATTGGTAAGTATAATATTTATTAAACAGCAGTTACAAACTTCATATTTCGGAACATTTGCGAAAATCAAATATCTTATGCTTCTATACTTGGAATTCAAGTGTACTTCTTGTTGATACAGTGAACGAAAAATTTAACACTTCAATTTCAGTATAAATAATATTCGTAGTTAGAAAGTTTGATAACTTCCATAAAAATGGTTGTGCACCATATTTAATTTTAAACTTCTTTAGTGCAAGAAAAAAATCTATGGATCTTCGCAAGGCAATGGAAAGTGTTGTTGTTCCAATGTTCTGTAACACTTCACTAGCTGCATCAGAAGAACAACTTAATAAATTAAATAAGTTATTAAGTCTATGGGAGTCAAAAAATAATTACTTTGATGAAGGAATTATAGATAAATTGAAACAACCAAGTGCATCTTGGTCTGAATATCAGGCCAATCTAGTTGCACAACATGCCAGCGCAATTACTCCGATCACAACATCGACAAAACAAACCTTTGATAATTATCAAGCACAACATCAAGCATTTGTCACGCATGCTTTGAGGCAAATACAAAACATTGAACAACAAAAGATAGCAATCGATCAACAATTAAAAGCACCACCTCCACCCCCACCGCAATTGGTAAGTTGATTAATTTTCTTTTCATATGCTTTGCATTTCTATAATATTTTATAAATATTAATAATGAAAAATCGTAATTTACAGAATCAACAGAATATGTCTCTGCCACCTAGTCATTCCGGTCCTCCTACTCCAATAGGCACAGATGTAAATTTCAGTCAACCACCCCCTGGATGGGGTGTACCTCCTGGAAATGAACCACCACCATTTTCGAATGTTCCATTACCAGATTTTTCGAAACCTCCGCCTGGGTTTGGTCCACCGCCTGTTATACATGAGCCCTCTGTTGAAGATTTAATGCCCAGTATGCCTTATTACGAACTTCCTGCTGGTTTGATGGTACCTTTGATTAAGTTAGAAGATGCTGAATATAAACCATTGGACCCAGAAGCTATAAGACTTCCACCACCTGCTCCTCCAAGCGAACGATTAGTAGCGGCCGTAGAAGCGTTCTATGCGCCACCAAATCACGACTCTCCACGGGACAGGTACAAACCATTATAAATTAGCAATATAATTGAAATATTAAACAAAATATTTTAATGTAATATGTATATGTTGTAGTGATGGATGGGAAAAATTAGGTTTATACGAGTATTATAAAGCAAAGAATGCTGCGCGTAAACGTAAAGAAGAAGACATAACGGCGGGTATAAGACAAAAGTCAAAATCACCGTCACCAATTTTGAGGCCAAGATCCAAAAGTCCTAGTCCACCAAAGAAACGATATCGAAGTAAATCCCGAAGTAGATCGCGCTCAAGATCGAGGGGTAGAAGCAGATCTAGATCTCCCACTGCTAATCACAGACGCAACAGCCGCAATAGCAACCATAACAACAGAAGCAGAAGGAGGAGGAATAGCAACAAGGATCGAAGTCCTGACAGGAGAATGGATAGGCAAGACCGAAGTCCAACTCCGCCCAGTTTTCTGTAAGTATCAATAATTAATAGATAGTGATATCGTATGTAAAAATTCGATTTGTACGAGTTATATTGTTTCAGTGGATCGACTTACAGTAAAGCTCCACAAGAAATTAGTATTGATGAGAGTAATAAAGGTCATCAGTTGCTCAAAAAAATGGGTTGGGGTGGTGCGGGTCTTGGTGCCAATGAGCAGGGTATTGAAGCTCCAATATCGGGAGGTGAAATTAGGGATAAGAACGATCAATACAAAGGCGTCGGTATTAATCTAAACGATCCGTATGAAAACTTTAGGAAAAGTAAAGGTCAAGCATTTATTACTAGAATGAAAGCGAGAGCGGAAGAACGTGCCGAAGAAAGAGGCGAACGGGACTGAATATAACCAAGTAAAATAACTAATTTGTTTATAATCCTTTCGTTGAGACATGATTATCGCGTGCAGTATGAATTTACATTGTCCTGTGGTCGACACACATTTCCAGCAGTCAATTCTTCACAATTTTATCGCGTAATTCATGTAAAGATTGATTTTAATGATTTCGTTTTTAATCGCTATTAGGGAAATAAATATTTTATATCTTCTTCTCCATTTCATTATATTCATGCTATATAGGAATTGTTTATTACTGAAATTGTAAAGTTCACCTATCTCTGTTATACAATTTTATATTCCCGTTAGAAATACGATCAATGATTTTATATTTTTTAATACTTCAATCAAATAGGAAATGTACATTTTCGATGCTGTGTCGATCATTCGTGGGCGTAAATCATTTATCTGTATATTTCCGTGTGAGGAAAATACCACAAGTGAATGATGACAAAAGGACAACTGTTTATAAAAACGATCACTTGTCAATTTATAAATAAGGCAAGGGTTATATAAGTTTACAATACGATATGCACCAAGAGTGGCTGTTGTTTACTAAATTCAATTTTCATGGTGCATGGTACGAAAGGAGAAAAATAAAATTTTATGCAACTACTGTACATTATGTACAAAAGTATTCGATCTTCGGCAAGGTTACCGCTAATAATAATAAATGATTTATCTATTGATAATTTGAGAAATTTCGATAAAAATAATAATTTTAAGCATACCAAAAGGACCGATTAATCAAAGATGACCAATCGCGCGATTAACGTCCATCGCGAACTTAACATGCGGAATTACATTTTAATTGTATCCCACACGACATCTTTAACTAAAATTCATTCTGCTCCCATGTAAAATGATGATAAATCAATTCGATGAATTTTCGTGTACGGGAATAAGAGATTTTTTGTGCAATCATTTGCACCTGAAAAAATATGAAACTAAAAAAAAAACTTGTATTTAGTAAGTTAATAAATGATTATATTGGATACATAAGAATAACTGGACGAATAAATGGTGTATGACTAAGCATAACGGAAAAAAAAAGAAATTGTAGAGAGAGTGAGCAAGAGAAAAAAAAAAGAGAGAATGTTCGTAATTAGAATTACCACGTCTTGAACACGTGCTCGACGTACATTCAAACTCTACACAGAACCACCGAAGAAGCAGTCAAAGAAAATTAATTCAATCGGTTCAAAGATATCCCAGAATAATAACATTCATAGATTTTTCTGAGCTGATATATTTATCGTCGGCTGTTACGGATACAAAGACTGAAAGAAAAATCGAAAATCTCAGTAACTGGCTAAGAACAGCTCGATGTACGATGGGACTATTAATCGTCAGAATTGCCTTTTTGAACTCCCCCAGTGGCAGTCGATATCGAAACCGAATAAATCCAACGTCGAACCGGTTTCGCAGCGATAACAGTCAAAAGCTACACACTTGGTGGCGTAAACAAAGCTAGAATGATGTGTATGTTCTTGGTAGTCATCCTACAAGGCCGTCCCCAGCTTTGATATTCTTTTTATATTACGTGATATTTTTTATCCATATGTTCGTACAAAATCTACACAGAAAAATTGCAATAAAATTTTTACGTAGGACTTCGAGGTTTCAACGAGACGTTAATATTTATTACAGTAGAGAATGATTTGAATAACTGTTCGTTTCAATTTTGATTCATTATTTGCCATCCTTTCCGCCATAAATACAGAGTGTCAAGACAGGCGTAATATCGGTTGATAACATTTCTCGAAAGTGCTAAAGATAAGTAATTTGGTTTTAGGAATCGTAAATATTGAATTTAACGATGATTCCACAGTATCTAGCGCCCTCCTTGGAACACAGTTACCATTGAAGCCAAAGGTCGTCGATAAAACACAGCAATTGAAACAATTTAAAAAGAAATCAAATAAAAAATCTGGTTCGCGGGTGAATATATGCTTCCACTTAAAGTACATAGACGGCGTTAGTGTACTAACGTCTCGAGATGTCGCATGTCGATGCACTCGATAGTAACGACACGCATTCTTTATGTGATCAATAATTAAATGATTTCAAAGAGAATGTAAGAAGGCCAAAAGCACGTGCAACAATTTTATAGCCAAACATTGTTCGGTCTACCTTTCTGAAAACCTGTCTGTATCACGTTACCATGACTGTGCAAACGTGACAAAAACAGACCAGTATCAAAAAGTAGTGTTTCCCGTGGGCCGATCCGTTGCTTATCTTGGATCGAGAGACTTGTATTTAAAATAACCGGCTGCGCTCGTGGGAAACGCATACGTGCGTGTACGAGTTACTCGACTGATGCAGCACGTTTAAGCAAAACGTGACACCGAACTCGAAAAGTATGTGAAGATAAAAAGTAAATTACGTTAACGATTTGGCAGCGGCACGTATCCATTGGATGCACACTCCTGCTGCGAAAGTGTTTATTCTTAGAACGTAATGTTTAAGTTCGCGAAGATATTCTTAGAAGGAAATACCGATTATCGAAGAACGACGTGGGGTGAATTAACATATGTAAAAAATATGTTTGTTTGTATTCCTTTTGATTTGACTCTTTTTTCTCTTTTTTTTTTGTGCATCAGATATTTAAAATAATTTTACGGATAATCTCGTGCGGTACAGAAATAAAATATTTATTTTCTTTGGAATATTTTGAAGTTGACATTTCGTGTATACAAAATATACAATTTTTTCACGACTTAAACTCATCTGAACTTGTCACATTCAAAGGATGTTTAATGAAAGATAATCTATAACTTGATTGAAGTTACACCTCGTGACCTTTTAAATACTCGTTTCATTGATGAAGTAGCTATCTAATTTTACAACACGAGTGTCATCATATAACGTCGATAACGTTACTGATGTAACGTTTACAATATTGCATGAAATTTTAACGTTCAAAACAGTATATCACGAAGAAACATCTATAGTTTGAGTCAAATATATTGGCGATCACATAGTTTTTTCCTCGGTCGTTTCTCGGTTCCACTCTTTATCTTTCGGTAGTTAACAATCATCCTATAGAATCTTTCGGTTTCGCCCTTAAACTACTCTTATAATGCTACGACATACACACACACACACACACATATATATATATAAAACTATACGTGAATAGATATGGCGAGAGTAAGCAAGTCACGGCACTTGAAGTGGATACCGCGCGTATTACAATGAATCACCCAATGACGAAAATTGCAATTTCTACAAACTTCGTCGTATCTTTAGAAAAAATAGTACCAGTGGATGAAAATGAATCCAAATACGACATAAATCGGACTGAATGTGTTTGGGCTCATTTTTATCAATGAATTTTTTGAAATTGGATGATTCGTTGCAACGCAAACAGTATCCCTTACAAGTGTCTCGACCGTTGTTACTTCGAGAAAGCCTATTGCCAAAAAAAGAAATGTAGCTTCATAAGGTATTGTCTTCAAAAGTAAAATAAAGATCGTCTTACAAAAACAGATACGCCCATAGGTCTATACGTTGACCAGTTGAACTATTGCATACACAGGTCTCGCTTAGTAGTAGGGTTCGTCGGTGTGAAAAAAAAGACGGAGGAGAAATGACCTTGTCCAGTTGAGACATTTGGCCTTTAGTATAAAATATGTTGTTTTACACGGTTGAACAATACGAATATTAGAAACTGACAAGATATAAAGTTACAAATCTCGCTATGAAATGATTTTGCTGGAAATAAAAAGAGTAGGAAGAAACTATATAGATATAATCACAATTCACATGAGGCGCGATTCTGAGCTTGTGACTTTTTATCACAAAGCAAGGCAAGTTTCGTATTACTGATTACAAGAGTAGTAAACGCTGTGTATCATTTCACCCTTGCTTGTCAAGATTTTCACGGACACTGTCAAATTATAACAACTCTCCTTGGACCTGTTACATCCATAGAAACATATAAAATACATGTCACACTCTTGTCACTGAATTACGACACATTGCAGCATTTCGCAATGTTCTACGATAAACGTAATAACAGTTTACATAGTTGTTGTAGCATAGAAGAGGACAGAACGGAATTTTTCGCTGGGCCATTGGAAACGTTCCGAATATACACAAGTACGTATATCAACATAAATATGCACACGTTTTTATAATCATGAATTACGTCTATTTATCGATATAATGAATCTCTTGTGTCATTTTCTCACACTAAATCAAACATTTAACGAATGGTAAACAAAGTGTCGATATTATTAATTCTAACTGTTTGTATCGAATAAAAAAGTATTTTCGCAAGATTTATAAATAGAACACGTACTAGTTATAAAAAGAATAATTTAATTTTGCAGTAATTTATTCATCGATTCTTGACAAGCATGCCACCTTTTGAAAGTCAGCTATAAATCAAGCCGTGTCCCAGGTAACAGGTAACCTCATAGTAATCAGAAACCGGATCTCGCACTCGCGTCGCGTATTTAGACCGGAAGTGCGTCTCTTTAGTTCGCTTTAAATAGTCACTCATGCTGCTGGTTTCCTTATATGTAGGTATCGATAACGAGACCCATCGGTGATTTCAAGTGAACGTTCTAGGCTATTTTTGGTATTAAGATAACAGTGCTATAATTAGCTCTTCATGTTGGTAATGGCACCACTGGTGTGTGGGATTTTATCTGAATTTGAGCAGTATGATGTCATAAACGTCAAATTGAAACGATCTTTTTTTTTTATATTATTAAAACCAAAAACATTTTACTGCTTCTCACATTTGCTTTATTTACAAATAAAAGTCACTGTATGGTAATGTAGAAAATTGTATACTTTCATGAGAGAAATCGAATAAGGGATTTTGTTTTTATTTATTAAAATATAAATAGTTCCGAAGCAAGCAATTATTCAAACGAGATACGAACATTCTCAATTATTCTCGACGTTAATCTAAAGATCGTGTGCTATCTCTCAAGATCATTTCGCGATATCGTCACTGCAAACGGTGCAGCTCCATATATATTTACAGAAGG